AAGCTGCTAGGACACCTGCCTGCACTCCATGGCACAGCTGCAGCAGCCAGAATCAATTTGACTAATTTCTTGAAGCAGAAGAAACCCAGGTTGTTGGTTTATGGATTGAGCAAAATAAGCAAACGTTAGCTGCATCTCAGGGGTCATAACACACCGTACTGATGAGTACATCACCTTTGCAGAACACAGTTAATGCCTGCAGAAGTCCTTCCAACTCTGTCAATGCAATACACTCTCCCACTTTGCCAGTTCCCTCTGGTTTCGCAGTTAACCCAGCTTCAGGACATGCAGAAGGTGTTCCTGCATCTGGCCCTGCATTTTTCCAAAAGCCTACCAAATGCAGCCTGCAGAACCCTTAGTGAGGCAGACAGCTCTTTCCTGCAGTTCAGGCTCATGATTTTTTTTTGCTAGTCCAACCCAAATCACTTAGTTTAACACTAAGCAATCAAATTGTTCCACCGCATCAGCCCCCCAGAACAAGCAGCAGTCTCCTGAGCAGATATACTATGGCAATTGACCCTGCAGAGCTGCTTCCACTATCTCCCCACCCTTCCTGGGAAACAACATCACACCACCAGAGAACAGCTGCCTGGAAGAAAACAGGGCAGACAGGAACAAGCTGGAGTCAGACAGAAGCAAGAATAACGAAAAGCAAAAGACCTCAATTTGATTTTCCTAAAATCTAGAATTTTTGCTCAGGGAAGACCACTTCCATCACAGCTACCTCAAGCTTGCGTTTCGCTTCTCAGATCAGTGCCAGCTAATATAAATGCACAAGACAGGGGAAGAAAGACACAGAAGAGATCAGAATCACGATCTGAAATGGAGAAGAGGATGTTAAAAGATGCCACAAATAGCTGCCTCCTCCTACCACTCCTGAGCCTGGGGTCTCCTTCTGCCTGGTCTCTAGAGCCCTGAGAGTCTCCATCTCAGACCAATGGACAGGGCTGCTGCCTTCTCATCTGAAGACTCAACGCAGCTCTGCCTGCATCCCAAAGATGCACACATGCACGCAAGACACAGGTACAGCCAGCCATAGAGACTGTTGCAGACAAAACTCTTCTCTCACACACTCCCGTGCCAACATCCTCACCCAGACTTGAGGTCTCCTACTCACACCTCAGCTGCTGGCCCTGTGCTCACTCTCAAACTCTCACCTGCACTTAATGATTGCACAGTTAGCACTTAATGATTGCACCACACACCTGTGAATGCACACACAGAGTGAGGTTATGCAAAAGAATAGGTAAGAACTCCTGATTTGTTTTTGAAAATAAATTAAAAAAAAACAAACAACAAAACATAAACAAGTAATGAATACGAAAGAAGCCCAAACAAAACCTCAAGCAGACCAATCCATCCCCTTTTTCCTAGAAACAAACAGTGGGACTCTCTTGTTCCATTCCAGAAGACCCTCAGTGCACCAGCAAACGCTGCAGCAGGATTCCTGGGCTACCAGCATTCCATTAACCGTAGCTCATAACGGTTTGATCGACAGCTCCTACTCAGCAGTGTTCCAGCACAGCACTCATGGTAAATCGTAACACACCACCCGCAATGCAGTGAGGCACAAGGAGCGTCACTAATACCATCTCTTCATAGCTCCCCGGAAAGGACCAAGTGGGTTCTTACCACCTGTCCTCAACTACCGCTTCAGCTGTAAGTGCTTGAATCCTTTTGTTCTCCGTCTTTCAATCCTTCCACTCGCTGCCTTACTCCCAGTAGTACTAATGGGGCCCTGCTTCCCTTAGAGCCCCGCGGGAGCAAAGTACCTCCAGCAGCTCCGCAACTGGGGGACCCCCGATCCCCTTCAAATTCCCTCGCCCGCAGCTCCCGTTACCTTTGGTCCATTTGAAGCACCACGTTGCCGGGGGCCGGCCGCGCACACCCCTCACTCGCGGCCAGCAGAGCCCCTCATGGCGCAAACAGCCCGCCGCGCCGTCCAGCCACATCTCTCCTCACAGCACCAACGGTCACCGCGCGGCCTCCGGAGGCGCGAGGCAGCCCGTAGGCGCGCGGCGGGCGCTGCTTTGCCGCTTGCGGGAGCGCGCGAAGGGAGGGCGGGAACGGCGTCCCGTCGGAGCAGCGGCTCGAGGCGGACCCGGTGCTTCGTCGGGAGGGCGGAACTGCTCCACGCACGGCGGGACCCGCGAGCTGAGAGCATGTATTCACGCAACACTGGAAGATCTTGCTCTGCTATGAGTAAAACGTGATGTTTTGTCGACGAGCTCTGACAGAACCGACTGCCCGCAATGGCAGCAGGTATGTGGTGCGAGGACATGGAATGGCTGAGTGCACCCAGCGCTGCATCCCGACAGTGCAAACCAACACCAGCCAGTAGATGACAAGCGATTTTATTTTGCAAAACAATCACTATACAGCAACAAATACAATTGCAAATCGGATTGAAAAACATGAACTACCTACCACCAGCCATTCAAGAAATGCCTCTTTTTATGGTAACAGGCTCTAGAATTATCAGAAAAAACACAGGTTTGTAACAGCAGACTGCATTCCTTGAAATCCCAGCATACAGCATGTTCATTCGTTGGCTTTTTCTCTTTGCTAAAGTTGAAGTGGCTTTTATATGCTTGATTTTTCCAAGTGTGAAACTCATTTACTTTCCTGCAGTGGGAATTGAGTTGCAGCGGGAATTGCTTTAGCGGTCTGACGAGCAATGAACTCTACGCACCTAGGCTAGACTACCTGCTTCGGCTCTCATAGCGAACGTCATCAACTCTTCAAGGCGTTTGCCTTTGAAGGGACATGAGTACTTTGGGTATGGAACGGTATTTGGTCCAGCGTGGCAAAAACTGCTGCTCACGTGTGGTAGCACACACAGGCTGCCTTCAGACTCCCTTGGGTCGTGTAGATAGGCAAGCATCTATTTGTAAGCAGCCACGATGAGGTTACTACTGTACCTTAGCATAGCACTGAATGGATGATACCATTTACTGCTGTACAGTGAAAATATACATGGCCCTAACGGGCACAGAATTATCCTCATCAGTATTAGTTTTTTCCCTTATTGGTGCTGGACAGAGGTTTGCTCACTTTGGATTTCTTTCTGCTTGTGGTTACACAGAAACAGGAGTCTGCGGATGGGGCAGAAGCCCCTTTCTTTTGTCTCTATAGCGTTACAGATTATTAATTAGGGGCTCTCCCCTAGCCATCCCATCTTTTGCTGTTCCATTTATCTGGATTATCTCTGCTCTGTTACAAAGTCAGGTCTCAGACACCCACGTACCTGCTGGCTGAACATGCCTGTGGAAAAGAAACAAAGGATGCAGTTTCCAGGAAGCTGGCTCTGTCTTGTTTAAGTGGGCATTACGTATTTACAAAACAGTTTCTTTTAAAAACCAACCCTCTTCTCGATCAATTAAGATTAATATGAACTTTTTCAATGAACATCTAGAGTCATGTAACAACTTTTTCTTTTTTTTTTTCTTTTTTTTTTCTTTTTTTTAACAGCACAAACTCTTAATTTCTTTTACCTTCATCTAAGTCCACAGCGTTCTAGGATTCTTTCTATGGAGGGATGATTACAAAGGTCTTTGCTTGAATCAAGACAAGAAAGCTCATTTTAATGCATGAAATAAATGTCTTGGTGCGTTACACCACTCTAACTTTGTACTCGTAAGTGGATTAACTAAACATCATTACCTAGAGAATGTCAATTTTAAAAGCAGAATTAAAAAAAAACACCTCAAGTAACACTGTTCTCACTAGCTGGTGTTCAGCTTCAGAGAAGCTGAGGTTCGGTAGTACCATAGACTCTCTCACATTTGCAAAAGGCGTAAGAAAAACCACACTGCAAGGCTCATTTACATCAATTGTGTGATCAGAGCAATGTGATGTAGATAATGTTTTAGTAGTGTTTGTTTTTTTTCTTTCTGTCGTTTGCTTTCCTGGAAAAAAAAATGGGAAGAGGCTTTTAATGCATATCTCTTGACATTGTTTCCGTGAGAATTCATACGATTACACAAGAGTATAACAAATACAAGGCAGAAATCAGAACCCATTTAGCATGGTTCCAAGCTCACTGTCCTTTGTATAAAACAACTGACTTACCAACAGTATTAGGAATTTTATAGTGTGATAAAGCTTTTTGCAGTGCTGAGATGTTGTGTGTTGGGCTAACGTTTCCAGTAAAATTTACAGAGTTTTCATAATTTTGTTTTTTTATACTATGTGACAGCTTAGCCAAAATCCTCATTTGGTCCACTGAAGATTTACTGCCAAGTAACCATGCATTTGCAACCTGAATCATGTGGAGTCCTGTGCAATTAATTATTAGAATCCTCCTTCACAGACATAAGAATGTTGTCTACAGTCTTTTTGGTTCAAAACCCAACACACACACACGCACACACAGAAATGAAGGAGCAAAAAGAACAGATAAAAAGCTTCCAGCACACAATGTTAACCTAATACATGTATCAAGTATAGCTCAACTGACAGTGCAAAGTTTAGTTAAGAGATTTCAAAAGGAAAAAGATCGAACAATCTGCAAGAATGTAAACTGGTCATTTCATAATGTCTACTGTACATATAGCATCAGCAGATTAGTATCTGCCGATGAGTAATACTCCCATATTACCTTCAGTGTTCTCTGAGTGTCCATAAGACAGTGTTGGAGCTCTCGCAGGTAACTCCGTTAGATTGGATGTTTCTGTATCTCTGCCCTCTTTATGCACACTTTTTCTTATACTTTTTATTAGTCAATATAATCCCACTTTGCTCAGATTTGAAGATGCCCTATTTATTAATCACTACAGCAACCCAGTGTAGGGAGCTCAATTTATCTACTCGTGTACTGTAATTTACAGGCATCTCTTGTAATGTTTATCACTGTTATCTGAGTGCCTGAGTGCATACATAAGATATCACTGAAGGAGTGGAAACAACACCTTAATACTTTTTTTGTTTCAACTTTAGCAAAAGAAAAACAAAATAAATAAATCTAACATTTGCTGTTACTACAGGAGTTAAAAAAAAAAAAAAAAAAAAAAAAAAAAGCCAAACTATTTTGGATTTTAAAAAAATCCAGAATCCAAACCCAGCCATCTTTGGAGACCGTTTTACAAACTTCTGGATCCCACAGAAATCATATCTTTGTGAAGAAAGGGAGGGAGGAGGGAAGGAATCCTTTTTCTAGCATCACAGAAGAGACTTGCATCTGGCACTAAAACAGGGTCACGGCTTTTAGTTGTTACAGAAAGCAACTTCATGCTAAAAGTTTTCATCTTTTTTTTAAATGTATTTTTATGAATAGGGAAAAAGAAACCCTGCTAACATCTACTTTTACATACCTAAAATTGCAACACCAAAGGGTGCAAGAGACACAGATACTGTGAATAAAGTAGAATATTCAAGTATATGAAGAGGGCGTCTCACAAATGGCCACAGAGAAATATATATCTATAATACTGTATCAAACAGATGGAAAGGATGTGAAACTGATGGTGACTACACAGATCTAGCCGCTTAACCAACTTCCTAATCAGATACAAGTCTATTGGGGTGGAAGTGCTTGCTTTCAAAGCTTTTTTACATCACTTCCCCAAGCATGATTCAATGTTTTCAACTAATAGCTTTAGTTATTAGTTAAATAATCTATTGGCTTTATCAGCTATACACCGACATAATTATCCAGGTCCAAAAAAATGTTAATAACTTAATTCAACTTTTGTTCTACTCATTTATACAAAATATCACTTTTTTTTTTTTTTTTATTAATTAAACTTGAATTTCTCTATATGCCCCTTCCTTCTGGTAAGCAGACTCTTAATCTAACCTGTAATAACTTACAACGGGCAGTTTCTCATTTTTTTTTCCCCATCTATCAACAGAACAGTGAAATGAGCAGCTTGGGATATTAACAAGGCTCTTCAGAAAGAGGTGGATGGCCTTCAGGCACATGAAAGGTAAAAATGCATTTTATTGTAGTACGGTACTCCATGCAAGACAGAGCAGAGCAACAATAATTGTCCAATGTAACATACTGCAGTTGTATACCCATATAAAGCCAGTGTCTTCCTGTTGTAAATGGAGATCAGGCCAATTTCTGCATCTATTAATATTTATCTGTTTGTTTGTTTTTTAACTGTATGGTAACTACAAGTCTTGGGATGTGACTTAGTTTTAGACATGGTAAAAATGAATGTAACACCTGCTCTGAGCCCATTCCTGCCAAGAGCTCATGCCTAAATATTATTACTTCATACAACGCAAAATGAGCAGATTCATAAGCCCTGCTTGGCGAGGGCTGCCGTGACATCTTCAGCGAGGGTAGCAAGCTGCGGTGATTCAAGCAGGTTGATGCTTCCAGAGGATGAGACATTGCTGAGTCTGCGTGGAGAAGCCACGCTGGACCTGCCTGGTGACTGCGTGATGATCTCAGCGCCGTGATCGACACGGGCTTTAGCGTGCTCTCTGAAGTTGAGTTTCTGGCTGTCAATCTGTTGCAGGAAAGCAGAGTTTAACACACAAAACGTTTAACAAATTTTCTCATCATACATCTTTGCCTCTCCTCTTTTTTTTTTTTTAACAGCTCTTACAAGGACTGAAGCTTCTTTAGTTCCTAGAAGGATTGAAACTGAAGTTTTTCTCTTTTTTTTTTTTTTTTACACATATATTACATCCTCTCTTCATATTTCTGTCTCTGATGGATGCCTGAACAAGCAGGAGCACAGTTCCTAGCTGTATGAAATTAGTAGGCATTTTATGTGATTTGTTTCTGAAATCTGTATTTTCAAATGCTTGTGGCAATGTCTTACGTTCAAGATGTTTTCCTCCTGTTTCACAAAGCAGTCCCAATCCTCTAGGATAGCCACACTACAAACTTACTGTATCTTGCCTATGCCTCGCAATGGTTCCAAACAAGGTTGTTTTTAGATGGAAAGCCAGGGCACAAACCACAGGAGGTTCCTCTACAAGGTTCACATTAATCTTAGTTGGGGATGTGAGCCTGCTCATTCCAAATTCCACAGGGAGCAAGTGGTACGTGAACGGGTTTGATGCAGAACGAAATGATATTTCCTACTCAACTCAGAGCCATCACTGAATTCACAGCTCTATAAATTCACAGAAGAATTTGGGCTGAAGGCACACTGGTAGCATTTCCCTGAGGGCCGTCCCCTTACCTTGACGTTACCACCTCCAGGTACGTGGTGAGCATTTTCAAGTGAGCCAACTTTAGCCTGAGCTTTCTCTTTGAAATCCAGTTTCACACTCTCAATTTTCACACGTCCACCTCCTACACAAGAAAAGGAAATAAAGAGCAGAATAGCTCAGGAGAAGGTCTGACACAATGAACATTCAGATTACTTCCCTTTTAGTTGAGTTCTAATGATTTTAGAGATGCGCAGAATAACATGCTGCGTGTTCAGTAAAATACAAAACCTTTAACACACATATTCAAACTGTAAGCATGTGCTACAGTCTGCTTGATTTAAGAAGACATTTAAATACTTTGCTGACTTCAGCATGCATATTGGTGTTTTATCAAACTGACTTTTTGTACAAGCAGCATCCTTCCGTACAACCTTTTACCTCATCTCTAAACAAGGTGGCTCCACACATCTATGTCTGTACACATTTAAGGAACTAAGAATAGTGTTTCTATCACCCAAGTATATTTACTTTCTCTAGAACTATAAAAGAGGATTCTATCTTCCATGACTTCCCCTTCACATACAAGTCTTTCCTTTGTCCCAGATCCCAGAAACTGTAGGAAGTTCTACCGATACCTGGCTTGTGGTGAATGTTCTTGAGCGAACCACACTTGGAAGTCACATGACTCAAGTCAATCTTCTTCGTTACAATCTGTACCTGTTAAAAGCACACACACAGAAATTACAAGAGTAATTTCTTAATAAATAAATAAAAAGACAAGCCTTGCAGAGGAAGAGCCCAAGCCTCCAGAAACCACTGGAAAAGGAGAGACGGTTAGTTGACCATGCCACAAATGAGGAAATGCTGGATTAATATAGCAAGCTTCCTTTCCGCCTAGCGAAAATGATGGAGCTGGGTTAAGCTTTTTCTATTAGGAAAATGAAGAGGAGGATGAAGCAGATCAGTTTGAGGGTTCTTTCTGAAATGTTCCTGAGCCTCCCTAAAGGGTGGATGCTCCAAACCCCTGTTTGGTTCTGTTTTTGAACGTGCATCCTGGCAAGCAGGAATATTTCCATAACTGTTTTTTTCTTGGCCACCTGTTTCACATTTTTTGCCATCTAAACATGATAGGCACTTTTAGCTCAATCCGCTACAGAGAGGCTGGTGAATCTACAAACGCAACTCCTGCAGCTGCGCCTCAGCTGGTGCACGGTCACCAGTGGCAGCAGCACTGCACTGCTCAGCCAGGCAGCAGCACAGGCACCCTCCATCCCTTCTGTGTTGCCATGGCTGCGCTGAGCCCAGCTCGGGAACAGCTACAGCCACAATCCTGCTTTGCCCCTAGCAGGAAGCCGCAGCCCTTCCAGACCTGGCCAAGCAATGCACACAGAAGCTCCAAGCTGACTGCAATGCCTCTGCTTTTCTTACGTCGCCAGCAGTGACTTAAGCCAGCAATGGTGGCTGTAGTGAATCTGGTTACTTCCCACTGCAGAGGACCTGATGTGTGCATGCCGCAAATTCATCTGAGGACCAATCGTTTCCACCAGGTGCATCACATCCTTATGCTATTCCAGTATGTCTGCTGGACCCAACTGGTGTGTGATCAAACCCTGAGCAACCTCAGCTGTTTGTACCAGAATAACGCTGTGGCATTAGCACACGTACACCAGCTGATCACACCCTCTCTCTGAACTTTCTTTATCCTTATTTTCTTTGTATCTTTTTTCTCTCTGAAGAACGTAGACAATTGAGAAGGTTAGCTGAGGATGCCCAGCTGTGAGCTGGAGTCTCTTTCTGGAAATGATTTTCTCGGGCCACTCCCAAGAAAAGCACTAAACCATTCTGGCTCACCCTCTACTGTTAGTATCCCTGGATGTTTATAGAGATGACCTGTCTTTCTCATTTTCTTTTCCTGACCAAGTCCTGGAAATGTGTTGTGCTCCATGAAGAACGATCAGAAGACCACAACTGCATACACAGGGCTCACACAACTACTAGACCAAAGTCACGTGTGAGTTATTAGCAAGAAGGAAAAGAGTGCTCAGAAAAAGGGAGATAGAGGGAGTTGGCTGCGCAAGGTGGGTCATCGCAGTGGAGATGCCTGCTTACAGGGTGTCTGTGCTACTTACATTTCCTCCCCCTGCAGAATGTTTGATGTTATCTCTGGAACCACACCGGGACTGAATATCGCTAAAATCGATCTTCTTGTTTAAAATCCTAACCTAAAAGGAATCGAAGGTAACTTACTACATAAAATACAGACACTCCATCGGGGTGCAGGACAAGGGAGCCAGAGTAATTTTGTCTCCTGCTGTGATTCCTTCTGTACTGAAGTGTGTGTGAGAAAGTCAGTCAGACCAATCTGTACACTTAGTATGTTACAACACAAATAAACACAGTACGTTGCTCTTTTTCTACTTCATGAACTGGTGGTGAAATGCAAAGAGGGATGCTTCAATACTGGGAAATATGAGAGGCAGCTTTTCTCCGAAAAGCTCTAAGAACTCCTTAGTTTCTCAGATGAGAGTTCTTGGAAAGCCTGTACTAGACTCTTTAAAGCAATGGCCAGTGTTTCTGCTGAACTGGCCACAAGGAGAAGATGGAAACCCTCTGCTCAGTTCAGCACTCCAGCCTTTCATGCAGCAATCTGTGATCCAGCCAGCTCAGACAACAGTTGAAATCCTGAGGTATTTCACCCCTCCTGCAACATAGCTTTAACAGGGGCTACATTCATATAACAGACTGCTGATCGCAGGGTGTCCTTTTAAAGGTGACTGACAGCTCTTGACAAATAGATTAAACTGCAGTCAGAGCTCAGTGCCTCTCTATTTAGGCAGTAAAAAGGTACAGTGCAGAGGTGGCCTGTTGCTTCATCTCTCAACTCCAGAAACACCAAGCAGCTGCACACCAGCTGAAGTGCTCAGTGGGAGGAAGGAAGAACCCTGTGCAGTTTGTGCTTCCTGGTGTCAGTTCCCCAAACTGTCCCAGACTTTCTGTTAAATCTGAAACAAATTACTAATTTCCTCTGTGCCTCACCTCCCTGAACTAGGAAAAGCCAATCTGACCACCTTACCAGAATATCAGATTTTGCAGCTGTTGGCCCTTGCAGCAAGAATACTGCCACACTCAGATACCAAGAAGAAATTTTTAGGGGGCACTCCGTAGCTAATGCAAAGGATTTCTTCATGGCAAGCTGTTTTGTGGGTCCCCTTCATTACACATAAAGTAATTACTGTATCAGTCAAACCACTGGAATGGTAAGTGCTTTCTTGCTTAATTTGGTAAAGATCTGTGGTGATGGCATGCTCAGCAATAAGGGTGATGGGAGCACTAGAAAACACAACTAGTGGGTCACCTTCATCCCCTTAGAAGGGCATCTTTGCTAGGCAAGCTGATAGTTCTGTCTTTCTCCTGTCTGCTTAATCCATGAAAGTAAACCAATGTACACTGAAAAATGAAAGGAAATGCCTTTGGAGTTTTAGGTTTGTACTTTATCTCAATATACTATATGTTTAAAAAAATGTACCCCAGTACTATACAAGACAGGTGTCACATCAGTTACTGAAACACACATCAGATGTGCGGTCAGATCTGGTTCCCAGAGAGCTTCAGGCCAGACAGGACTGGGCAAAACAGAAAGCCTCCCTAGCACTTTCTGAGCACATCTATCTCAGCGATGGGTCAGCAGCACCTCTCAGCAATGGCCACAGGGATGCACTTGCTCTGAAAAATGCTGACTTTGGTCATGGCAAGACCTCACTGCTGTGGACGGGGGCCTGTAGCTTAAAAGGGAAGCCAAAGCAAGGCGGTAAATTGAGAGAGTGCCTTTGACAAAGTGCCTAAAGTTTGATTTGCACCCAAATATCTGACAAGTTATGAGTGTCATGAACCGAGCTAGCAGGTATGTAAAGGAACAATCAACACAACTATCCTCTCTATGGATGAAATGTGCTTCTGTGTAGCAGGATCAACAGGAACTCTATCATTTATGTCCTGTGCTGAAGGCTGAAGTGAGACGAGTGATGCAGACGTGCTGTGCAGCTCACCTGGCACAGGTGGAAAGTACACTGACCCAGGTTTTCCCTAATTACTCTTTCTCCCTTTCCCGGAATACATCAGTATCCCTGTCCATGTTTAAGTCCTCAATAACTAAGCATTCTATGAACTAACAAAGCCTTGTTTCCTGCGGATTAATGCCTTATACCATTTAATCCATTAATTTGTATTTTTAAGCAAGGCCTACTCTCTCCTGCCAGTAATACCCACCTAGCTTTCTCCCAGGTGGGTTAGTCTACGCAAATAGGAGCCAATGTCTCTGACTGCGGAGCAGGGACTGAGCTATCACTGCTGTTTCCCCAGTAACAGCGCTGAGCCTCTGTTTAGAATCTAATCAATAACTACCATCCCATCTTGGAGGGACAGCAGGTGTTTCTAACCTCTGCTCCCCTGTCAGCACTGGTTGAAATTGGCCAACAAGTTACAAATGAATTGAGGATAGCTAAGACTGCCAGCCAGACAGCGTGACTCCATGATCTTTGTTTCCTTTGGTAAATCAGACTGTAAACATCAGAGGGAAATTACCAGAGAGGGACAGGCACCATTTAGGCTACAGAGAATCTCTGGCTTTCAAACAAAAAGGATAAACAAGCCGAACTATTTGAAGCTGGAATTCAGAAGGAAATGTGTAGCTATCAAAGCAGGGAGGCTCTGAAACTGCTTCTCAAGGGAACGGAGCTACAAAAAGAAAATGGTAAACTTTTATAATGGTGCTTGAAAGGAATTAAATGATGCATTTGCCTGTGATAGAGACAGTACAAATACCATGACTCACCAGGAAGGCCTCCATGTTCCCAAATGTGTATGGACATCTTGTGTGGGGGTGGAGGTGTGGTAGGAATGCATGTATATGAACTTTCATTCTATATTCTAATATGTGTGCACAGTAAATGAAAGATCAAGCCTGCTCATGCTCTCATTCAGGAAAGGGAACACTGTAGTAATCTGTGTTAGAAAATTGAGTGCTTTCTCTTCACACTCCCTAAACATCCCAATAGGCTAATCTCCTTACAGACTCCCTCATAACACTTGTATGGACACGCCAGTCTGAGATGTGTAAACTCAATTCTACCAAACCGATGCTGGGTTGCCAAGACATGCTGCACAGGCTCTAGGAAGGTAGTATTCTGGTTTGTCATTTCTCATATCCAGGTAAAGCAAAACCACAGTGGAAAACTTAAGCCTTACAGACAATGCTGAGTTATTCCATAAAACCACACTGCCCAACAATCAGTCTGGTTTCTGTCTGAAGTCCTGGCAGAGTGGCAGACCTTCCCCTGCTCTATCTTCTGATGACACTTCCACAGTGGTCCGTGAGCAAAGCCCAGGGCAGATAGCGCTGTCTAGCACACAGCGTAGCCTTACAGACACCAACTGCTTCTAGACAGTCCCCAGAAGGAATTGGCCACTGTGCTCCAGTGCCTTCTATGCTGTTTGAATGTTGTCCAACAAAGTATCAGGAGATAAGAGGCATTTATGGATTGCTGCGAGGAAAACACGTGTTGAAGGTATTTTTCACGGAATTCATTTAGATGTGGCATATACTGACCTCTACTCATAAGGGTGAACACTTCTAGTGGCCTGGCAGGTAATTTCAACAGGAAGCAGCTGTGGTCTGGTCTGCCCTACACCAGAAAGGATGTTTCTGGGTGAAGCTGGGTGACATGAGAAGCAACAGGCTGGTAATACCTGGGCATCACCCAGTGGTATATGTGGCTCCCTATCGCTGTTCACAGAAAGTGAACTATGATTTCAAAGTATCTATGTATAGAAGTCTCCTCTCAGGGACCTGGAACAGGCCCTCCTCTGGCAGTACTGTACCTCTGTATTCATGGCGAGCAGAAATTTGTACAAGTACTGAATAGAAGGCAGAGAAACGCAAGAAAGAATTTAGTTTAGCTGTGCCCCGCTGCATCCGTGACTGAAAACAGTTTCTGAAAGGGAAAGAATTAAGGTTCATTGCTGCCTATCATCATTCAGTTCAGCTTCCACAAGAACAGGAAAAGCCCCTTCCTAACAAATCAGTGTCTGGGCAGATGATCCATCAGCCACTTTTCTCCTGTGGCTCACTACAATGGTGCACACCAAAATGAGGATTCTCAAAGAACAAAAACTGAGAAGCTGATGAAATTACAGGCTCTGCATGTATTTTTTTCAAGAAGCTGATGATTAATGTTCTCCCTGCCATGAAATCATGGCCTTTGAGAAGTTCTACCACAAACACTAAGCCTAAAGCATTAAAAAAAAAAACTCTACCGTGGCTCCACTTGTCACTTGAACATGCTGTGAGGCTGTGATATTGGGAAAAGCTCCCAGACTCCTAACAACTTAACAAAGATGACAGGTTCCTCCTACTTACCACAGCATCACAGTAATTTGACACAGACACATCCCAGGAACTAGACGTTATTTCAGTGTTTGCCCTGCTGGTTAACAAAGGGACTGAATGAAACAAGAATTGGTTGGGCACAGAAGTGAGGTTAAGGTTAAAACCTGATTAGAATCAAGAAATAGTTCTCAGTGCTTCAAAGTCTATATGCTGCCAAGGACAGATTATACTACAGATTTCATGCTCCTGGCAGAGGCTACAGGTAGAGTAAAGGAAAGGGGAAGGGTATTTCTGTGACCAATTAAAGCCCCTGAAGAGGAGGACTGTGCCTCAAAGGTTCTACATCTACAAACAGAACCTGAGATCATATTTGCACTCCTGGCATTACTAGATACACACACCAAGGGAAAAGCCAGCCTACATGCTAGTGAGATTCAAAATAAAGGACTGTACTGCACACACAGCATGGACAAAATGATGTACCATCTTCATCTCATTCTTAGCAAAGGGTGACGAAGAAGTTATGTTAACTCCTGACCTTTGAAAACATAGCCAGAGGCAGACATCAGCCATATAATATTTTGGTCTGAAGAGATAAACTATAAAACAATTAAAAATTTAAAATGCATACTTCCAATGAGAAATGTCAGTAAAATAGAAGAGATGCCAAGCAATCAACCATGTCTTTAGTACTTGCACAAAATACCAGTGGCTGATTGATGTCTGTCTGTGAAGAACTTAGAAGCTTCAATCTACCTATTTGCAGATCACAGCATATATCTAATTAATAATTAGATCTAGGAATGTCCCTAATTGTAAAGGGAAGAAAAGCCATCA